TCTTGGCTCTATTAAAACTCATACAATCCTAGGCCCCCCCTTAATGTTTTTAATTAACTTTCAATTGTGGCCTCGCCGCCGGTCGGGGCCTTTGTCCAAGCACCGGTCTCCGGACGTCAAGGTCACTTTGAAAGGTTCGGCCTGCCGGCTCTACTGCTTCTGACTACTTTGCTAAGGCCCTCTCCGCCAGTGGTGCATCGCTCGCGTACCGCTCGAGAGGGCGCTCCCATCTCGGGGTCCACCTTCACGGCAAGTTGGGGTTGCCGCGGTTGCCACGCGCCCTGAGCCTCAAAACTGCGTTGCTCCTAGATGGACTGGCCCGCGGATGGTGCAGGCCCGCTTGCTTTTTTTCTGGCGTAGCCATCCTTGCGAGGTCCAAGATCGCGACGGCGGGGGAGTGGGCGGACCCGGTTTCTGGTACCTCTCCAATGCCACCGGGGTAAGCTCCGTGTGTGGGCTTTTGATGCAAAACTGAAACGTTGGCCGTTGTGTATGTCGTGACGCCGTGTAAAGCCAAGGTCAAGAGGGCCACGGCAGCCAAAGTGCTGTGGCTTGCCTGGGAAGCTTGGCGCTATCGGTGGCTTCGGCCGCTCGGCACGGACGACAAACGCCTGGACGCGTGCCTCCCTTCGGCGCCCCAGATCGTCAATCTCGATGGTCCTGGTCAAGCTTTGCATGGCGGTGCCCCTAAAAGCAATGCTTCGCATACTTGGAGTTTCGTCGGCCTCTTCCGAACGTGAGACGCGTGGCTCTGGGCTCTGGGTCCTTCTGCGGGGCGTTCCGTGCGGCCTGGGAGCTGGCTTTTGAGCCTGTTGGTTTACGTCTCCCGCCTGCTCGCACTCAACCTCCGTGCCTGCGCGCTGGATGGGAGCCTGTTTTGGACTTACTTGCTCTTCTGCCTCCCCTGCCTGATGGGTTTGCCATTCGGGCGGCCGCTGGGTGAGTGTTTGTCAAGCCCATGTGGGAATGGCCCTGGGATCTTATTCTCCGCCTCCAGCGGGCTTTGCTTTGCAGTTGTTCCACCTGGTGGGTGCGGCGGGCGTGTGTGCGCCGACCATGTTGATCTTCACTCTCAGTACGGGAGTGCGGTTGCGGCCCTCACGCGTGCTGCCTCACTCCCACGCACTCTTGAGCTTTTGGCTTGTGTCAGACTTCATGCCGCTCAGCTTGGGCTTGATGTGCCTTTTGATGACTGGGACTGGGGCCCATGGCTCTACTGGGGAGGCCGCCGACAATGACTCATGGAGGATCTGCGGGAAGAGGCTGAAGTGGAACAGGTGCAGGGGATGCAGCCGATCAGATTGAACACCGGCGTCTCTGCAAACCAGGCGGATGGCACCTGCCGGGAACAGTGCCGCCACTGCGCCTTTGTCATCACTTCGGACAACATGGGCAACTTCTGCCGGCGCCGACATGATCACTACAAGGTGGCACCCGGAGATGGAGCGAGTGGGGGCCCCACATCGACCGGCTCCGGTCCTGTGCGTCCTCAAGAAGTGTGAGTGGTCGGGCCGATTGGAAATGCCCTTTGTGCAATGCTGAGTCCCTGCAGGCAAGATCCAAGGCCAAGCTCAGGACTGTGAGGCAGCAGCACCGCGTCGATGGATGCGTACCACAGAGGCCGTTTCCGTGATCCATGCCAAGCGGCTCCGAGCTGGGGGGGACAATTGTGGGCATTGCCTTCCCTTCAGTGGCCAAGAATTAGGCAGGACAAGACCAAGACGGAGACCAGACTGGGCCTCTACACGGCGTGGCGGTGCAAGAAGTGTACGAGGGTGCTTCCCAAGGTGAGTACTGCCCGGACCCATCGCTGTGAGCAGCTGGCGACCAGGATCATCGAAGGGAGATTGAGGCGTACAGGCACGGCATTGATTCGGCGACGCTGCGCCAAACCTTCGAGACGGCCAGCAGGCTCCTGAGTGGCGACCCCATGTGCTCATGATCAGAATTGCTACATTGAACATTTAGCGGGCTGGGGCGATGAAGGTGCATATGCTGGCAGATATTCTGGCTGACCGAGCCCTCCCCGTGGACTATTTGGCTGTGCAGGAGTTAGACCTGCCCCAGAACTCTGCGGAGATCTTCGTCGACACTCTTTGTAGACGAGGCTTGCATGTTTTTCCCAGTGTGCCAGAGAACGCGGTGTATAGATGCGCTGTTTTGGCATGGAGTCCGGGCACTGCTGTGGACCTCGGCCTTAGCCGGATGGCGGGTGCCTGTTTTGAGTTCTTCTTGTGCAACGGCAATTTTGCGATCGTTATTGTTTTTCTCGTAAGATCAATAAGCCAAAAGTAGTAATTGCCGTTGATCTTCGTATGAGGATTACGGAAGGTGACCATCGGTAGATCTATCGGTTTCTTGTCCGGTGGAAAGATGTCATCGACGGTGGCACTCCGGCTGGTCAGCATGCTTTGCGCCTCCTTGCCCGTAACAAATGTGTTGGTCATGCCAATCTGAGTCGCCAGGACGCTGAGGGTCTCCTGCAGGTTGACATTGCTCTGTCGTCTGATTTCAGTGCCGTTTCGTGACCCTGTGGTTTGCCAAGCATCCGTGGATGCTTGGTTTATTGCACTCTGCCGAGTGCTGGGTTTGGCTTGGGGCCTCTTCTTTATCTTTTTTGGTTTCTCGCTCCCCAGGGTTTTGTTTCTTGGGTTTGCCCTCGTGCATGCTCTTGCGCCGTGAGGGTCCTGCACCCTTGCCTCCCATTGACCGTGCTGCAGACCGCCTCCAGGATCGAGGTTACTGCACTTCCACCATTTTGCCAGGGATCCCACAGCTCTGGGTTAATTAGCCGGTTGGCTGATGTAGCTATTATGGTCCTTCATTTCGATATGGTAGTTGATATGAGGATGCATAACGGGGTTACTCGTCGACCTAGCATTTTAATCCATGCGAACTAAGACGTGAATGCGAAAGGCATCTCAAATCGCAAAGATAGTCTTAGTGTTGCTGTTGTTTAGGAATAGGAGTAGCCAATTGGCTCACGGCCACTTATATGTATTGTTGGGGCTTTGATTGAGCTTGAGGCCCACATTTGAGCTCCGGGTTTTCAGACAAAAATTTGCTTTCACCGTTGCAGAAATCATCTTGCGGAGTATCTGCGTGAAGGGTCGCAAAAACTGAGAATGAAAGCGGTTGCCGATATACATATGCTGTCCCCTCGGAACTTCAAAACCTAAAGTTAAACTTGGATGATACGCCGGAAGCATAAACGTAGAAGGATTGGTGGCGCTATCGCGGCAACGCGTGGTAGTTCTTCGGGGAGTGGTGTTATAACATACAGAAATGCATATATGCATATATATATAGATACGCATATACATACCTACATACCTACCTACATACATACAGATGTATGTATATATATATATACATATACATATGCATACGTGTATATATAAACACGTGATCATGCGTATGACTGCGGTAGCCTACGTCAATGAGTCAAAGGGGGTAAATGTTTGATCGGTAGGAAGATGCATATACGCGAGTTCTTGAAGACAAGCCAACATGCACATGCAGAGTCGCAATAATGAGTGGAGTCCGGGGGAAAGCATTAGAAAATAATGTGCAAAATGAAGCTCCCATAAATTCCTGCTCGATGCATGCACCTAAGATGATCTCTCTATCTCTCTCTCTCTCTCGCTCGCTCTCTCTCTCTCTCTCTCTCTCTCTCTCTCTCTCTCGCTTTCGTTTTTTCTCTCTCTCTTTCTCTCTCTCTCCCTCTCTCTGTTTCTCTCTCTCTCTCTCTCTCTTTCTTTCTCTCTCTCTCGCTCCCCTGCTTCTTCCACGTGCCACGACCAAAACGCACAGGCACGCCACGGCACGCGTGAAAAAAAACACTTTCCAGACATGTGATGTTTGACGAGGTGCAGATGGTGTTTCAGGCCTGCTTAGCATTCGTTGTTGTGCCTTTTGAAAAATCTGCGTGCCTTCTTGGAGACTAGCGTGCCCCTGGAGTTGGCGTGCCTTTTGCCACTGGTCGTACCTTAACGCTCCATCTTGTACCGGCCCTCCGCAGTGGGGTCATGTTTCTCCCGCCTCCTCCGCGGCTGCCCTGCTTGGTTCTTCTCCTGCCGACATTATCGGACCCTATCGTGACGCTGCTGGTCCGCTGTTACGGTTCCCTTGCCTGGTTCTAGTGCGGTGATTTCGGGCTTGTCGGTGGGTTTTTCTGCACCCTGCTGCGTGGCCCATGTTCCAGCCAGCTCGCCGTGTGAGTGGACACACTTCCTTTCGTATTTGGTCTTGGGCCCAGGTCTCGGTGCCCCCCCTGTGTGGGGAGCATCAGCACGTGGGTTTCTTCATTGTCCCGGTTTCCACCGTCGCGTTTGTCCTCCCTTCTCTTTGTGGTTTTGCATTTCCGGATTTTTCTCAGCCTCTCATGCTTTCGAGCATCGAGGGTCTGCATCGTCTGCATCTCTTGCCTCTTCTTGTCCGTGCTGGAGTCCGCTTGCGGGATCGAGGTTACTGCACATCGACCACTTCAATACAGTACGTATGTGCGTATGTGTATATATGTATGCATGCATGCATGCATGCATGCATGCATGCATGCATGCATGCATGCATGCATGCATGTATGTATGTATGTATGTATGTATGTATGTAGGTGTTTATGTATTCATGCATGTATGATATGTATGTGTGTCTGTCTGCCTGCATGTCTTTATGTCTGATGTCTGCATTTATGTATGCATGCACGTACGTGCGTATGTTTGTATGCATGTACGTATGCAGTTTTAGCTATGTAGGCAAAAGTAGACGATGGACATCCTTTGATTTTGAGCCTGGCCGAGGAACGCAGGGCGCGGCCCATGCGGCCCAAGCGCAGCGCGAGCTTGAACCGAAGCAGCTTGTCCCTGCATTCCCTGGCCGCAGAGGCCCTTCACGGAACAAACCGCCGACTGAACGTAAGTGTAGCCGCCCTGCCGGGGTGGGCCAGGTTTACAGGCATTCTGCAACTGCATTCGGAAGACGCCGAATCAGATTGGGATGATGCAGCTCTAATTAGATGTAATTGGGGAGGGTTCTGGAAGTCAGGCGGACCTTGCTACCTTGTTTTGCTCGTAATCTGAATCTTGGGCTGCGAGTTGTTGAAGGCTCTCAAACTCTGGCACACAAGCATCTGGCTGTCTCACCTGAAGCTTTCAGGAGGCGCCAGCGCCGGCGCCATCGGCTTCGCGCCGAATGACGAAGGCATGGCCCATGGCTGCATGGCTAAACCTCAAGCTGTGGTTGGCGAAGAAGTTTTCCTCTGCTCGATGCTTGCGCTTGCTCAGGGAAGTTGGATGCGAAACCGGAGCCAAATCTCGCTCCATGGTTATCCTCAGGCGGGATGCCGGGCTGCAGCAGTCAGCGAACCCAGTGCAGCACTCCTTCCGAGTATGCGCCTGCTGTCCTTAAGAATAATCCCTTGCCCCCAATATTAAACCCCCTTCCCACTGATTTCCGGTGGTTTGGATTTTGCATTAGGGGGGTTTCGATCCGGGTATGAGTCGGATTGAACAAAGACCGTCCATCACATGCAGCCGCTCCGGCTGTGACAGGCAGTCAGCCCTAAGCCCTGAGTCCTAAACCCTAAAGCCCTCAGCCCGAAACCTTGAGCCCTATAAAGCCCTAAGCCCTAAACCTTAAGCCGTAAGCTCTTAAAACACCAAAGCTCTGGTCCTTTCGATTTGATTAGTACTGCAGTAATCTTGGCTCTATTAAAACTAATACAATCCTAGCCCCCCCCTAATGATTTTTAACTAAATTTCAATTGTGCGCTCGAAAGCGCGAAATCCCGGGGCCGGTAGGTTTTTATATTAGATGGGGTTAATGTTAGGGGGAAAAAGTACTTCTGTCTGCCTGGGCAGGGGCCTGAACAAGCAGGTCGCAGTCTTAGAAATGGCAGCAAAAGCTTTTGCCGAAGCTGAGGCGCGGCATCAGTCAAGGCCCAATATCACCAAACATGAGCCAATCCAAGCTTGCAACATGTCACTTGCCCGATAAGAAGCATTTCTTAGATTGGTTTGCATGGGGGCTTTGTGTCAGCAAAGACAGTGGTAATTAATTCCAAGTGCTTTCGAAGCGAAAGGCGAAGCTTCTTTCAATATACAAGCGTTTTCTTTTCAACCCGTGCAGGCAAGCCGTGACTGTCGTGTTGAGTTCGGTTTGAAATATCCATGGACACCGTTCCTCGCATCCACTTTAGCCTGCCCTGACGCTCCAGCGGAGTAAAGGCTAGAGTCAATTGAGAGTGAGAAAGAGAGCGGGGGAGAGAGTACATATGCCTTCGGGCCAGGAGTGCTTGCACTCCACACCCCTAGCAAGCAAGCAAGCAAGAGCAAATATGGAGTGCAGTTGTCCCCGAAGTTGCCGAACTGCCTCCAAAGCCCCACAAAAATTGGGGGGCCCTAAGGGCCGAGGGGACTCGCACTCCCCTCAAACCCGAAGGAAGAAGAGTACATATGGGGTAGCCGATTGTTCCCAGGCCAGTCCGCCGACTACTACCGGCCGATGAGGCGAGCGGCCCGTGCCTCGGGGGGTTTGGCGGGGCCCTCGCGAAATGGTTTCGGGGTTTAGGGTCCCGATGAGGTCACTGTGTAACGCAGCTGTTTGCATTGCAACGGAATGTGTAGTGCATCTCTTGCATCATCTTCAACTAGATGAAACATGTCCCATACCTACGTATATGTATAGAGTTATATACACATATATGTATCGTATATGTATATAGATATAGATACAGTGTCAAGACAGACATTTGAATATAGGATGTATGAATGAATGTCTGGATGTGTGAATGCATGATAATGCATGCATACACGAATCACTCAGACAGTCCGTCCGTCCGTCCAGCAGTCAATCAGAATCAGTCAATCAATCAAAGAATATATGAGTGTATATATTTAGATGAGTTTATGTATGTATGCATGCATGTATGTGTGTATGTCTGCATGCCCGTATGTATGTAGGTACGTGCGTGTACACATCCCTGACTCCTGATTGAAGGGCTACGCAAAGCACGATGTTTGATGCAGTGTGCGACGCTCACAGCCCACTGCATGCAATGAAGCTGTGCACGTGAATGCGATGCGAGGATTGCCGTGACTGTCGTGCGGGTGCATTGCTGGATGGCCGACTCCGCCGGAGTGCGTCAGTCATGTGGTGTGGTCGATGTTAAACCAGGTCGTCCAGGGTAACAGCAAAAGAACGTTACGATGTGTGGCGCATCAGGTCGTTGATTGCAGAAGTCACGTCGATTGCAAGCTTTCCATGCGGTAGGTGCAAGCGGCTAGCAAGTTTGTTGAACACACCGAGTCTGTTCGACGATGTGATGAGGCTTGCACTCAATCCTATGGGCATGTTCATCGTCTCAGTCGGTCACGCGAGTACCATGTGAGTATGGCCCGCAAAGCACGTAAAGGTTTGCAAATACGAGATTTCCCGTCATTTTGCATCTGCAGAAGTGGAAGAAGCACGGAGTCAAATTTCGGAGCACAACTGCCTGGGACACAACGTCGCACAACAGCCAAAACCAAAGTATGCGTACTTTGTGTGTCAAAGGCGAGCGCCGCACCGAGATCTTCCTTGCGGAGTGGAGGCTGATGCTCCTCAGACATTGTCACACGGTTTAGGGCTTATAATAGGGTCGAGGGATTTCTGTTCGATCACTCAAACAAGGGAATCATCGGACTCAAACCGTTTCACCGAGAACCGAGTGGTTGCACCACAGCGCGTCAGGCAGAAACTGTCTGTGTGTAGAGAATGAGATGAAGTTCCGGCCCCAACAAGACCACGAAGCCTGCACTGCACCGCTTCATGCTGCTTCGTGACATGTAGACCCCTGTGTGCCAGTGTGTCGTTTGAGGGACCGTACCGGTTCTCGTCAGCGGCCCCTGTTGGCAGGTCAACTTGGTGAGGCGAGCACCGTCGAATTTGCCAGGCCCCGGTAGCCGTGCAAGCGGTAGCAGTCGTCCTCGTCGTCGTCCTCGTCGTCGTCGTCGTCGTAGTAGTAGTAGTAGTAGCAGCAGCAGAAGCAGCAGGCATGTTTCGTGCGCCGAACCGGAGGACCGAGGAATTGGATTTTTACAGGTGTTCGCAATCCCAAAAACCCGCGTGCGCGATTCAGCACGTTCGGCAACGCCGATGCACTGTTCTTTTTTTTAATCGAGGTCGGTGTCCCGGGCAGAAGGAAGGGATATGAGCCGGATTTGGAAAAGATTGCGGCGCAGTCGAAAATGGGCACTGCACATCACTGAGCCACAGAAGGCAGCAACCACGGAAGTGCCGTGTGCACCCGCCACAGATGCCTTGATCAAATTCAGTTTCCCTGCATGTACCCCACAAGTTGCGCAAGTGTAAAACTAAAACGCCGGAAGCCAAGAAAACAGTCGGACGTGGAAACGCCTCGGAAACATACACCACTGCTGCTGCTGCTGCTGCTGCTGCTGTGCTTTG